TTAATTTAGAATGAAAAAATCATTGTCTGGTCTTGAGCATCTAAGTTCAAAGAAAACGGCTGAATAACCATCTTTCAGAAAAAGAAGTCTGAGATGGGGGGGCTTTCTTCATCCTCTTTCTCCTCCTTTTTTCCAGCCATATTAATTTGCCAGCTTATTGCATCACTGCATATTTATACCACAGCATTTCTGCAGCACCTGTCAGGATCTGATAATTCTACAGTATCTCTTATTCCCTGATTTTTCAAGCCACAATACAGGGAAATGGTCTCCAAGAAAAACCCCTCATGTCTACTTCCCAAGACTGTGACCTCTTGGTAATGAAGGGATAGTGTCAGAAGCACTTCTAAACATGTCCACTGTTTCATCCAGGGTCAAGCATCACATTGCTACTCATTTACAGTTTCACAGAAGTTTAGGGCTGGAAGGGACCTCATGACATCATCGGGTCCAGCCCCCCTGCTCTGGGCTGGAAAGACAGCTGGGCTCAAATAACCCCAGCAAGATGAGGGTCCAGTCTCCTTTTGGAGATCTCCGGGGTAGGTGCCTGCACCACCCCCGCTGGGAGTCTATTCCAGGGTCGGGTCACATGAACCATGAAGCAATTTTTCCTTCTATTCAGTCTGAAACTTTCTAGGAGTTTATAACCCATTACTCCTGGTTTTCCCCTGGGACACTTTGGTGAATAGTTGTTCACCTAATCCCTGATGCTCACCCCTGATATATTTGTAAGCTGTCACCAAATCCCGCCGAAGTTTTCTCTTTTCCAAGCTGAACAGTCCCATGGAAAAGAGAAGACTTCAGGGGGACTTGGTGGCAGCTTGCAAATATATCAAGGATGAGCATCAATTAACTAGGTATTGCTTGATCTTCAAAAAGGTACATTTTTTAAAAAGTTAAATTTTTCATTGCCAAATGCTACTGTGCTTTTCTTTGCTATCCTATGATTCAAAGCTCAAACCTATGAATGTAATTTGGGAATCTGATTTGCTAACGGATTATTTTCTGATCACACAAGGTTGGGTGAAAGTAGGAAGATACGGCCATGAACAGAGAGTTTATCTAATTTGCAGAGACTTGCCTATTACCACTCAAAATCTTCTTGTCTTCAATGTGCACTTGGTTCATCTTTAGCCTTAACATTTTGGATAGGATCATAAATAAGGGGATTGTGTGGCCCTCTGTCTACCCATGATGTTCTCACCTACTCTATGCCTGCCTATCACTGATCCAAGCTGTACAAAGGCATCCCCTTAGAAAAGAAAAGGGTCAGAGGTGGATCAAAATGATTCAACACTAGACAGCCAAATCCAGCAGGTCTTGACTCTTTATTCTCCATCCTTCACATGAATAATGTGTAATGTGGAGAAAAGGAGTCCAAACCTCTGTTCTAAGCTGCATCAAACTTTTTGGGGAATCCAAAAATACTCAGCTCCCTACAATCTTTATTTGTTTGGGGGGGGGGGTTAATATCATTTCTTTAAATCTCCATGATTCCAGGTTTATCTGGATTTAGAAGCCGTAATACGGCAATATTACATGATGGAGAATTTCTGATCAGGCTGGGAATTTTACAAAAAAGTGAGCACTTGCTCAGTTTCCTGACCAAAGATTTTTCATTTGATTTTGAAACTTCATTTGACCTACATGAAATGCAGCTCCCAGTGAACTTTTATCTACCTTGCCAAAGGCCTTGCTGCAGTTGGGCCTGCTTCCTGGCATCCTCAAAAGAGTGGCCAAGGATTGAAGAGACCTGAAGGCTGAGGCAATTTAGCTGAACCGGGAACGAAGCTTGTTAGCTTGATCAGTGTGGGGAGGCCAGTGCTAATAGTGCCCCATGCTCTGGTTCATTTTGCAGATAGAAGAGCCACCAACTCATCTCAGTTGACAAATGTGTGCCAATATGAAAAGCATATATGTTTACTTGGATAAAACTCTAGGATTTCTAATGGAAGCTCAACTCCTGATGTATATCAATCATTGCTCATAGTAAGCCCATCTAAATGGCCTGCTATTTATTCTGTTGCTACCTATTTCGCATGCCACCTGCTAACAAGATTGATTAAACAGCAGAATTCCCCAAGCTGCAGCTCTGTGGATATCTTCATATATTATGACAGCTAAGACTCCAAATGCTTCTTTTCTATTCTTCCTGCGCCCCTACTCAGCAAAAAGAAAGGAAATGTTTTAAAAACTGCATGAACTCTGTGTCAGCTGAGGGTTGCTTGTGCATGTCTTCTTATCCATCCAGGGAGGTATATGGGCAGTGGGTAGCGTTTAAAAAATGTGGCGTGTATGTCTTTGGTTAAGCAGATCATGCTTCTGTATTTAGCTTTTGATAGTTACCAAGATGGAAAGAAGTCTTTTTCCCCCCCCCTTACTTTTAAATGAATTTTATGTCAAGATAGTTCAAGCTGTCAAAGCGGTTTATAATAAGTTGTACTGTGGTGGTTAAATGATGTAATATCCCTTCAGAGAACAGCAAACATGTACCTGGTAGTTACATCAAGCTAGATCAGATAACGTGAGATCACAAAGTAACTGAATTGGTCTTTCTAGTTCCTCTGATGGGAATCAGTTTACCCACATGTTATTAAAACTAAAGCAACTGGGAAATGCCTTTTTATAGTAGCTAACGCTGAAGGAGAGACAGCTAGAGAACTGAGTGGCAACTGCCCACGGCAGAAAGGACATTCCAGTTTTGAGGGTCTTGCCCTAGACAATAGCCTTGGTTAAGCTACAAATAGACATCATCTGTGTGTCACCAAAAAAAAAAAAAAAAGATGGTGGCACAAAAAAACAGATGTCCATGCCCCTTGTTGTACCCCAAATGCCCCAAAATAGTGGTGCAACAATTCCTAGAAATAGTTTGTGCTGCCTTTTCATTGTGGACATCTGTTTAGTTATGGCATGAAAGCATGGGCAGCAGGGGCTGACCAGGCTCTCCAGCTGTCCTGGGCAGGCACTGGCAGGGCTTGATCCCATGGGATAAGGACCTCAGGTTCCTGAACCCAACCCAGGGGCACCGCAGGGAGCCCTATATATTCCCTGGTCAGCGATTGCAGACACATGGCCCAGAAATTCCCCTGCTAGGCACATGTTTCACATTGGAGAGCAAGGGAAGCCCATGCATTCTCTGCTCCACGCTTGCAGACCCATGGCCCAGCAATTTCCCCGCAGGTATACATCTGCAAGTGAAGACCGTAGTACACACAGGATTCCCCAGGGTGCTCCCAGATTGGGGACAGGGGT